AAAAGAGGAGAGACTTCACTACGATGAATAAACTAGTTTTGTGGGAAACAGCTTACGATTTAATTAATCAACAGCCTATCGACTAATCTTCAACATGGCCATTAAACATACATTTTGTATTTTTAGTTTACACCAAAAAAATGCTGTTTTTTTAAGAGAAGTCACAGACAATTTTGTGAGAAGTAGGATTCAGTTTATGGCACTTCTCATTCTTTTTCCATGGTATCTGGAAATAGTGATTGTCTTTCATCCAACTCTGACAGAAAATCAGGCAAGGCCATAATGTGATTGGTTATCAAGGCACACATGATCTTAGTTGGCATTACTCTTTCTCCAATGGCTGCGGACCTGGTATCTGGTATCTCCCAATAATAAGACCATGAGATACTCATATCTCAACAGCCGTTTATGAGCACTATTTATTCCGGATTATGTGGTACTAAAAGCAAAATGAACCTTCTGATCGCAGTAGCAAATTGTCTTTATATCATTTTATAACATTATTCCACCCTTTCTTCAAAGCAAACCACAATAATAGCATTCGTTGGTACAGAGCAAAGCCGTTAAAGTTTTGACATAATTGATTAACTGTAGCAGGAAAGCTTCACTGATTAAGACAACAAATTGAAGGAAGTGGGTCTGTAAGTGTCAGAGCGTTGAGGGGGTATCAGCAGATAGCCGTTGTCATTCTTAGAAGAGTACACCCTGGAGAGGTGGGGTTGCAATGTATTGTGGTTTGGCTGTCAAGGTTGACTCCCACAGTCTCTCTCTGCTATTTAGCAGAATTCCCCCAAAATGAATTTCAGTGAAACCAGTGGCCGTTTAACCTCTTTATTGGTTATGTGGGCTCTTCACCAAAAACTGTTTGTGTTTCTGTGAAAAGATGTCATCTGTTGTTTGCTATTAGTTCATTGTCTTTCTGGTGGGATTCAAAAGAGTCAAAATAAGCAGTGATGTGTAGAGATGTTAAAGCCTAAAAATGTACTCTGACGAAATGTTCCCCAGTGCATTTAATTCTTTGGAGCAAGGCATCAAGCTACAACAATTTCAGCTTTGACCCCATTACCCACTGCCCTTTTGAAACTCAGCTCATGATTTTTTTTTTGACAAGTCCCATCCACCATCCCCAAAGTCTGATCAAAAACACAGCGCGATATCTTGTTCTAGCTCATCAAAAGAGCTTTCCAGTTAATGCTATTCTAAGCTTAGTGGACTAAGCTGTTAGCTTGTTAACCACAAGCTGATTGGAAACACAAAGAAAAACACTTAATTTCACCTTCAATTTAACCATTATTAGCCTTTGTAACAGTGTGATATGTAATTTAAAATATTAAAATTTTAATGACACATAGCAATTTTCTAACGTTATCTGGAGTGCTTTTCATGTGGAGGCCAAAAGCGTCGGAAGGGCCAACATAGCCAAGTTGGTTTTATCACAGTCGGTGCTGCCAGGACTTGGACTATCCTAAGACTATTCTAAGATGCTAAGACTCTTTAGATGGCTAGATATTCACAATACTGAAAAACAGACTATGGCTTAGTTAGACAGTCACAGTTGTGGCCAGTAAGAGGAATCCAATAAGTGAGTGGGTGTTAAAGGAGAGCATCTTGCAGTTGTTGAAGTGTAAATTGCACCTCTGGCTGTATGCTGACAGCGCCGGCACTTTGTGAGGGGCCCCACATCAAACCACATTCTCTACGGTGTCCAGTGTCTACTCAAACAACAGAGACCTCGCCAAGTCTCAGTCACGTCACTGGTGAACTAAAGCCATGTGCCTGAATATGAACATCAGACCAACATGACACACCAACAGGAGCTCTGGTCCGCTGCTTTTTGCCCTACATAGGCACATGCCTTCTAAAGGTGCATTTACACTGAGAGCTATTAACTCAGTGGAGATCACCAGTCGATACAAGTAGACATTCCTACTTGCCTCGACTTTACAACTCACCTATAGTCTTTGACCACACAAATACGCAACTCACACTGAAGATGAATGACTTAGTGGTCTGTTGCTGCTCATCGCTGTCAGTATGAACATCCCTTAAGGCGACATCCTACATGAAATGAAGTGACTGATCTGAATTGTTCTACATAGGCAGGATATATAAATAAATAGTGAGTCTCACTCCTCATGGAGACTCGACTACTGAAATGGATTTCAGTGCGTTACTAACAGTATGTTACTAAGCTAACAGTACATTACTAAATGTGATGCTAATAATTGTCAAAACTGTTTTTGTTTCCTAATTCAGTTTTAATGAATTTGAATTTAATCGAAATTTGAACTCATTTTCGGGAAAAAAAATATAAGTCTGAACTGAAATACAAATAAACTGAACAACAGACAGATAAGAAATGTATGAATGGGAACACTTTTTATTGTCCTGTGTTAACCCATGTGAACATGACTTGTGGAAGAACAAGACCTTCCTCTTCGCAATGTCTTTTAATAAATACTAAAAGTTGTGAGTTGGCAAGTAACAGTTTTGTGGTTTACCAATTTCTTGTGTCATGAGATAGCATGTCCTTCTTCTTGGCTTGAGAATTCTCAGAAACCATATAGTAACAGTTTCATATTCCCTTACAACATTAGGTCACACCAATCCATGACCATTTATATTTTTATTTAAAAAAGTATCAATAAATTAAAAAAGGGGTAGAGATAAGCAGTGCTACTATGGTTTATATTATATTAGTATTATATTACAGGATTAGTTCATTAAAAAATAAAAGAAAGTCTGTTAATAGTAACCCATTCACTGACCAAAAAACAAAAATGGTAGAAACAGTAAAAAGCTCATACCTTAGGTTAAGGTGAAATATGAATAAAGAGCTCCATACATCTGCTTTGAAAGACAGGCCTGTTTGAAGACAGTTCACAACATTAACAGCTGTGCTGAAGTCCACTGATAACAAATTTTAATGCTGTTTAGTCACCAGCAGGATAAACTACAGTATATTCCTCCAGAATCTTTAGCAAAGCTAAACAGGAACTTTATAATTTAAATTATTTTCTGAACATTTACGTGTTTATATATTGTTACATTTCACAGTGCTGATCTCACTTACCTCTAGATTGTGGTTAATTATTTCCCATCCTTTCTAATAGCTTAAATAGACAGACAAAAGCTATTAAATATCAAAAAAGTTGAACCAGTTATTTTTATTTTCAAAATTATTTATTAATATTAATTATAATTATTATATTAATAATCACAATATAGCCATTTTTATTTTATCGTTCTTATTAAAAATAAGAACAGACGAAAAAAACAAACAATAGAATATAAGAAAGAAAAAAATAGTGCATTACTTTTCTCATTTAAAAAAAGCATTAACGTAAGAAAAAAACAAAAAATAAATAGTAAGAATCACTTCAGTGTGTTCATTACAAATAAACTGATTATTAAATCTCCAAAAGCAGTTCAATCAAGAGCAGCGATCTTTTCTTTTATTGTTAGATTAACATTAATGAGACAGATGATAACTAGCCTATTTTAAGACCTTCTGTACTGCACGGATCTAATATGTTACACATCAGATGTTTTTCCCCAACAGTTCCCCAAACATTCACTTAAGACGTAACAGATTATGTATGCTTGAATAGCCTACTTAAAATACTGTAATTCTGTGTATGTGTATATTTATCGGGATCACTCCTTTATGTGCGAAATTCTGAAATTCGACCAAAATCGTCATTTTTCACTTTTTTTGTCTGTAGCTCAAAATTAGCCTGTGTGCATTCCGACTCGTTTTGCCAGCGCGGGTATATATATATATATATATAGTGATGCATTTCATTGCCACACAAAATTCACACACCAACCAAATTTATATGTTCATCATTTGTTGTATAAAGCATTTTAGCTGCAGACCCACCCATTACATGACCTGCTTTCCTGAACTCTTTTTCAACATCTGCACTCTTGGTCCCTCAATCCAGCAGTGCTGCATGGATACAGGACACACCCTAAAACGCTCTCACTCACACTCCACAACCCCGAGTTTCACTGACAGAATGCAGAGAGCCCTGCAGTGCCTTTCGCCATCCTTCCTGACCTTCATACATGCCCTTACTGCAGAATTACTATGGCCACACCCTTCTCACAGCCTGTGAATCCTTGATTGCAAGCGTGTTGTAACTGGCAGGCGATTCCTGCCAATTAGAACAGATAAGAGAGAAGAGAGCAGATCTTCAATGGACAACACATTAACATACATCACACAATAACTTGTCAAATCAGTTTCAATCTGACTGGGTGAAGTGATGCAGAAATTCTTTTGATCTATTACAAAGTCTAGAAACATTCTCTATTTTTCAATGTTTTCTGAACAACCGTTTGCATAATCCTATAAATCTTTTTCCACTGAAATCAGTTATTGTGGCATAACCTTACATAAACCTTCCTTATTTTATTTATGAATATTTCAAGATATAAAAATAAAATTGTGATGGGTTGATTCAGTCTTGTGCAATCTGCAATTCTGTTAACCAGAATTTCACATTTCAAACATCACGCATAACACCACATCTTATTTGCATAATACCAGAAATGTGCTGCTCATTTGTATACACCTTAGTAACACTGCATTTAAAAACATAAACATCATTATAAAAATGAAAGCATTTTATTTCCTCTTAAAATCATGTTGTCATCACATCTGACACAGATTACAAACTATCACAGTTTTTGAAAGCTAGATCAAAAAAGAACAAAAAAATGAAAATTATAACACCTACAGGGAAAAAAATGCATAAATCAAGAACTATAAAAAAATATAAAACTTGGAAAAAAAAATAATTAACCTCCATTTTTAATCTCTAAGTACCATTTAAAAACATAATTTAAACACCTTTTCCTTTACACAAAATCAAGCATTCAAATGAATTTGAAACATTAGTTTTCTTTTAAATAGAAGACATGTAATCAATTTGTCATGCAGTGGATGTAACATTAAATATTAATTCCAAAAAAATAATAATATACTTCTCTCTTTTTTATATAATTGTATCTAGATCATATAGATAATATATAGATATTTTATATTCAAGTCAAAACACTCACCCTCCCTTTATAGGGAAACATTTACCACAAATATAATCTAACAATGCTTTCATAGCTGCCATCAGTAGCATGGCTGTCTTTCAGGAACATTAAAAACAAGGGATTTCAGCAAAACCATTTTGGCACAGAAAACCACACATAACGCCAGTAGCATCTGCTTTGTAAAAAGACAAGGAAAGCTTTTGTCTGATTTTTTTCCGGTTTAATAAAAAAAAAAAAAAAAAAAGGAAAAACATTCTGTGCATCGCTTTAGTCCAGGAGAGAGAGTGTACAGGTATGTGCATCTCCTGAGCATCTGCTTGAGGCCAGTGGTGTGTCCCAGAGTTTTGTTGCTACTGCAGCATGCTTTTAATGGTCTTAGTGGTTGACTCATCATTAAGATGTTTTGTTGTGTACCTGCACAGAAGACATTAAGTAATAATTATATTTACTGCAGAATCTTGCAGTGTTGTGTCAAGTTTTCTTTAGCACTGATGCAAAAAAAAAAGCAAGCAGTGCTAAAAAAAAAAAGAAAACAGAAAAAACGAAAAACAGAAAAAAATCTTGTTCATAGGGCCATCATGGGCCCCTGATGCCTCAAAGTGCATATGCCATGGAATATTCCTCACATGAAACCACTAAAAATATGTGTCTTAATGGAAAAGTGCAGCTGATTAATATGATATTAATATGATAATATTCATGAAAAGATTTTTTTTTTTACCTGAGAGCATTTAGAAGACCTTCTACACTGTTTGGTGGCTGATCTCTGAGCACTTTAATGCAGCCTTTCATCTGTTTGGGGAAAAAAACGACCATAGTTAGAGTGGCAGAGTAATGACAGCACTCAACCTCACGAGTCATGATGCTGTGAGAGAGCCATCGCCACGTTTTCTAAGCACTATGATTATGAGTCAGTGTCAGTGCCTAGCGGGAGGGGAAAAAACTTCAGAGATGGGTTTGCAGTAACAGGAGATGATGGTTTCACTCACGTCTATTTTGGAGGACTTCGCGAATGCGCCGACGGGATGGACGTAGTCGTAGAGGATAATGACCCCCACCATGACACGCAGACAGAAGGAAACGGTCTCCTCACTGCTGAAGCGGCTGCGATACTCTCTGTATCCAAAAAAATATGAGAATAAGCAAATCTTTTTTTAATTTTTTTGTTTTATATTTACCTACTAATTTTTTAGTAAATTATACTTATTTTTTTAATACACCACAAATTTTATGGTATCATCAGACAGATGAGAAAATGGCAGACTTACGGGGTTTCCAACATAACTTTGCACACGCTCGCCATGGTGCTTAATACATCTGTTGTGTTTTCAATAGGCAAGTTTTTATTCTGTTGGGCAAAAGCAAAAAATTATTTCTTTATTTATTTTAAAGTTATTTTTTGAAAATGTCACTGACAGCTGATTTGAAATATTTTTGTTTACCTCAGATACAAATTTTGTTGTGCCATCACTTAATGTCTTTAGCATGGGTGTGGCATCAGCATAAAATAGAGATATCCGATTGGCCAGTTCATTATTCACCTTGTTTTCTCCCTCTGCCTACATGGACAGACACCAAAAACATTATTAATGGAGTAAAGCAAGGAGAACATAGATTTTTCTTTCTGAACAGTTTCTCAGAACTTATCACAGTCAATGCCTCATGAAAATGATTAATAGAAGACCATAAAGAAAACAATGTGAAGATGGATAAGCATTGAAAGGTTTTTTCCCTGTGCCCCAATTTTTTAGGTGAAAAATCAGTCTAAAATGTTATACATCATTAATGTACTAAATATTAAAAAAATTAATCCTTCAAAAATGGATGGATGTCACCTAACCCTTCTGCTTAAATGAGAAGGGAGTGTATGTTAGCCAATTTTTGAGGTCGCAAAGCTAGCATCATTTGAGTAACAATGAAATATCCCAGAATACAGTCATTTTGGTTAACAGGATAAATGGGAGAAACAGCAAATTGGACAAGGATGGGAAAAGTAAAGACATCCCCAGACATAAAAAGGAAATTAAGCTTTAGTTCTTTTGCAAAATATGTGATGAATAATTAAAAATCTTTTCTGTGAAATTAAATCTGTCTTAATTTACTTACTGTATTTTACTGAATAAAAAGGGGAAAATGCTTTTCAAACCAGCAAAAGCATCATCAAAATTAGGGCAGCCAGACAATAACAAATTTGTTTTTATTTAATAAGAAAGCGGTTTAATCTTACAGTAAACTGCATACACCTGCACATTCTGGTGTGTCAAGTCTAAAAATACATTCATACATTAAACAATAGTCTAAACTATTAGTGCAGATGTGGAGAGTGCTAGCTGGAGTGATTTATTTAGCTCTCTTACAGTAGTAGGGCCCTGGGGAACCATGGTGGGGCTACTGAATTCAGTCTGGGAGAATATGAGGGGAAAACCAGCGCCACTTCACTAAACAAGGTATGCAGACTGCATGGTGTCCCCCAGGGCTATGTATGTGGCCCGCTCTCAGATCAGATATTTAGTCCTAGGAGGGCAGGACATCTCTGGGGAGGACAGGCACAAAAGCTGACCACAGATCAGGTGCCACACTATATTGGTGCACCTCAATGCACTTCAGTGAGCATCTCAGAACTCACTCACTCTCCCAGTGGGAGGCCATTTTCTGTTTGGGTCCTCAACAGTCCCCTGAGGGCTGGTATGTGCAAGTGGCTGAGTGCTTGAGTATGTGAGTAAGAAAGAAAAGGAAGTGTGTTAATTATGTGAAAGGGGTTTAGATAAAATTGATAGCTGCTTGTCAAAAGTGTATTTTTACTTTAAAAGTAAAAAACAGGTGTGGATAAAAGATGTTAAGTAAGGACAGAAGTGTAGTGCACAGAAAGGTGAATAGAAAGAGAAAAAGAGAGGGGGGAGGGGGGGTTGATAAAGTCATAGCAATAGAGAGGTGGTAGTTTCAATTCTTGAGAAAACTCACAGGAACATTATTGATCCTCATGCGGCTCAGGGTCCTCCTGTAATAACTGAAGTCATTCTGAATGGCAGGATTTGTCATCTGCAAAAGAATGAAAAGTTTATCTACACTACCATTCAAAAGTTTGGGGTCAGTAAGACTTCCTTTATGCTATTTGCATTTGTTCAGCAAAGACACATTAAATTGATCAAAAGTGACAGTAATTTATTATTTATTATTACAAAAGATTATATTTCAAATAAATGTTGTTCTTTTGAACCTTCTATCAAATAATACTGACTGAAAGAAAAAAAGTTTCCATAAAAAAATTAAGCAGCACAACTATTTTTGACATCATAAGAAATGCTTCTTGAGCACCAAATCAGCATATTAGAATGATTTCTAAATGATCATGTGACACTGAAGACTGGAGTAATTGCTGCAGTCTTCTTTTAAATCTTTTCAATCTCTCCTTTACAATCCTAGCTTGTTGTGGGTGATTGCCAGACCATTGCTATGCAGTTGTTAAAATGTTAATATGTGACCCTGGACCACAAAACGTCGTAAGGGTCAATTTTTCGAAATTGAGATTTATACATCATCCGAAAGCCGAATAAATAATCTTTCCATTAATGTATGGTTTGTTAGTATAGGACAATATTTGAAAATCTGGAATCTGAGGGTGCAAAAAAATCGAAATATTGAGAAAATCGCCTTTAAAGCTGTCTAAATTAAGTCCTTAGCAAAGGATATTACTAATCAAATATATTAATCAATAGTTTTGATATATTTATGGTAAGAAATTTACTAAATATCTTCATGGAACATGATCTTTACTTAATATCCTAATGATTTTTTGGCATAAAAGAAAAATCGATAATTTTGACCCATGCAATGTATTATACCCGTGCAACTTAAAGACTGGTTTTGTGGTCCAGGGACACATATTGGTTTTTAGCTGTATAGTTGCTAAGGCATTGCCATGTTGCTATACTGTAGGTTACTTACTAGCCACCAAGTCTCTTTCAGGTCTCTAAATGTGGTTAAATTTAAGTCTATGGGATTATTTTTATCTATTTTATCGTCTGCCAGGCAGAAATTATAAGTCTAATCCCTTAGAAAAATAATAGCACACCTCTCAAAGTTACATAGCAAAGTTTAATACTCAAAGTTATGGGCTTTTAAACAACTCACAACTCTAAGTATGAACAATAGTAATAGTGATGCTTGCCTTAACAAGAACCATTAATAAAATTAAATTGTGTAAGGTGTTTCAAAGGGAGGCAAATCTCCAGGTAATTGCTGGTGTGACAGGACTGAAGTAGACAAATACAGTCTGGTAGTCTAGAAGGCAAAGAACACTTACAGGATTAGCTAAAGCTTTACATAAATGACTACCAGCTCCTTTAGGTAATCAGCAATCTTTATCTGACAGGACTGAGACTGTCTGGAACCCATACATACCCTATAGAAGTACTATTTACTATTTATACACCACAAACGATTTGTAGCTTGTGACAGATGGATAAACATGCTTTAATGAAGAGTCATGTTCAATTTAGGGTTCAGTGACAAATTCAGTGACAAAGGAGGGGGTGCTTGTCAAGATGACAGCGGAGACCGGATAGAGGACAAAGGTCAGGGAAAAGAATGAACTCTTTAGGATTTGCAAGAGCAGAGGTCAACTTTAATTATTAAAATATGAAATAATAGAAAAATCTCATGTTTTAGAAATTTAACAGTTTATTGAATCTTTAGACATACATAGACATATATCCCTAGATAACCTTTAGATACTGTATATATAAGTTTGCATGTGTTGTTTGTTTGATTATCAAGATAGTGTATAACAGGTTTTTCAGCAAAGTTTTGATCATTTATAGGCTTTAGAAGTTGATGCATCAAATGATACAGTAGGCTTTATAGGATTGATGATGGTTATGCGGATAACTCTCAGAAGAAATCAAAACAATATCCTCAAATGACATCCTTGTCAACAAAACTAATGCAGTCGATTTATTGTCAGACCAGACAGCCCATCCTATCCCTGCAGCGTACGGCGCTACGGCATTGACGGGATGAAGTAGGTCACTGCGCCAAGCTGAAAGGAGGGCATGGTTGGATGGAGGTTGGCATGCCACCTTACACCCCCTACCTTCTCACATTTAGCAACCTCATCTGGGGGGGTCTCTTTAATTGGGACATCCCAGCTCCGTGCCGCAGGGCATCAGGGTATATGTGAATGTTTGCATTAGGAAGAGCAGGATATGTGTTGGTGCTGAGGTGAATAAGAAAACAGCTAGACAAAACATTATTTGATTTCTTTGGACACATAACCCGAGACAAATGAGGTGGTTTACTGTTCAGTCATTTAGGGTTGTATGAGTGCCTGAGGTTCTGATATGGTCACAGAAGTGTGTAAAAGCACACTATAGCTCAGCATGGTGCTGTCTTGACATATACGTACACTTTTAAGTGTCTGTTCTGCATTATTAATTTAGTGTAAAAGAAACAGCAGGTGTTTAAGATGGGAATAAGAGAATGAGGAGAGCAAAAGATCAAAAGCTAATTTTCTTGTGATCTTAAATGTCAGGAAAGGTTTGGCAAGCACCTGGGACAGAGAAAACTGACACGTGCAATTGGAAAGTAATTATTTTCTCATTAGCTGGTTTCTAATCACAATTAGCATGTCATTAGAGATAAGTGGAAGCTTGTTAAAGCATCACATCCTGGTCAGTCTCATCAATCGCATGGTAATGTGTAACAGCAGGCTGCATGTTAAAATTCTGATGACTTACATGGCGAGCTCATCTTTTAACCATGCATTTCATTTGACTACAGAACATTAATGAATGACTTATACTCATGGACCTCATATTTTATATAAAGAAAATGAAGCATGTTTGATAATTAAACATTATGTATAGGGATGCAGTATACCAGTATCGGTATCGGGCCCGATACTGAGCTCCTGTACTCGTTAAAATGCCCCGATACCAAACGCCGATACCACACAGCATGTGATAAGTGCCATATTCAAACAAAGAAACACCGACAACAGAACAACAGACAGCAGAATGGAGTTAAGGATGTCTACTACGAAGTATGTGTATGCAATGAATATAGCGTGAATATAACAATGAATATAACTAGGGGAAGTCGTGGCCTAATGGTTAGAGAGTCGGACTCGTAACCCCAAGGTTGCGGGTTCGAGTCTCGTACCGGCAGGGATTGTAGGTGGGGGGAGTGAATGTACAGCACTCTCTCCCACCTTCAATACCACGACTGAGGTGCCCTTGAGCAAGGCACCGAACCCCCCACTGCTCCGG